ATTTATTTGTGTTTCCCAGGGCCCCTTGAGAGAACCCGTTTTCGCATCCTCGCGCGATGGCGGCCGTTGCCGAGGGGTGGCGGTAACGTCACGGAACGCACCAGTGCCGTCTGGGAGTTGGCTACCGCCGGCCATTCCCATCATATCTGCCCCCTCCCCTTTTTGTCCGCCACTGACGTAGAGGCAGAGGGGGATCTGTTTTACCCTTCTAGCACCGGTTAACATATACCTACGGAGTGGGCCCGGAAAGAATGGGTACAATGCCCAACAGCAGTTTCTGTTCGGTTTGAGCAGGACTCGCTGTCCGCGCCGCCGCGGCCCGTGCCCATTTGAGACAGACGGCCGCCTGCCCAACAGCGGCCGCTGTTTGTTTGGGACAACATTTGCGTTTGGGTACTGTACCACATGTTTCCGTACCCATCTCGGGCGTCCAAATTTCAGGAGGGGAAAAAACACACAGACACAATTAATCGTCGACTCCCAGGAAAATATAGCAAAATATGTGAAGTGGGGGGGAAGACAAAAACCAAGAAAATATAGGAAAACATGGGGCATCTTTTTATTTGTGTGTATTTATTTGTGTGTTTGTGGGCCCCTTCAAAATTGTGGTGTGCCCCGTGGAGCAGGCCAGCCCGGTCGGGCCCGCAGCGGCTTCTCGGGCTGGTCGCGGGGCGCACCCGTCGGGCGCAGTGCCCAGCCCCGTGCACAGAGGACGCCAAGGGCGCGAGCCGAGCGCAGCCCGCAGGTGCCCCCTCTCCCACGAGTGCGCGCAGCCCCCCCGTCGAGAGGGTGCCTCCTCCGCCAGCTCCCCCTCGCCCCTCGCTGCGGCCTCCTCGGATGCAGCTCCTGGGAGGTAAAATTCGGATCTTGCCCTGGTCCGACATCCGGCCTGATCCCGCTTATAATCCCGCTTGATCCGGCCTAATCCCGTTGAATCCTGGCTAATTCGGCTTAGTCCGAGGCCCTCTCCGGCGTAACAGCCCCCCAATGGAGCTTAATCTTTTTTTAAATCCTTCCGACGAAAAGCCTCCTGGCAGTTGCCTCTTAAGGCCTCCTCCCCGCGCCAGTTTACAGCAGAGCTGAGCTGGCAAAGGGAGAGCAGCAGAGGTCGCGTGTTGAAGCCTTCGCTCCCCGGCATGGATGATCTATCTTTCCAGAACTCCAGAGCTGAACTCCTCTCGCATGAGGAAAATCCTGGAGGCCTCGCGCGGCGAGCACTAGACGTACTGCCTGGTCCGCACATCTGCCCATCGAGATGTGGGACGACGCTCGCGCGCACGCAACTCCGACACAGCTCCGACGTCAATTCGACCTTGGTCCGACGCAAATCCGAAGCGATTCGACGGGAGCCCGACGCAAGTCCGACATGGATCCGTCGTACATTGGGTCTCACGTTGCTGCGCGAGAGGCCTCCATGATTTTCTTCATTCGGCGGCAAGTGCAGGGGGGAAGGGAGACCTTCTCGAAAGGCTGGGCGTCTCAGAATCCCTCGCGCCTTTTTTCTGAGAAGCTTTCCGGGCCTGCTCCCAAGAAACGGGACGTCTTCCCAGAAGGCCGGAAGGCTTCTGAGAAGCCCCGCCGCCTTCTGAGAAGGCCTCCCCTTCTCACTTCCCCCCTTCCCTCGGCTCTCTTCCTTCTGTGTGTGTGTTCCCTTCTTTTCTTCGTTGGTCGCCATCCCCCCTCCCACCCAGACAGCTCTTGCATGGTGGAGACCCCTTCCCGTCGGCTGGGCAGCTGGCAGCCCTCTTCACCCGAGCCGCACCTCGCTGCCTTTCCGCGCCCTCCGCCTCCTCGTGGGGAGACGAAGACCTCCCCCCTGCTGGGCCTGCCGCCGACTCGGGACGCCCCGCCGCCCAGGAGCGGGCGGAGCGCCGCCGCATCCGCCAGGAGCCGCCGCCCACCGCCCCCGTGCTCTTCCCTGTATACGGTCGGTTCGCGCCGCGCTGGTGCGGGGGGGGGGGTCGGGCGTCATACGCAGGCGTGGCCCCGGGGAGGTTCGGCCGTGCAGTCGGGGCCCTGAAGAAGGAACCCTTTTCGTTGGGCAGGGGCTCCGTGTTCCTGAAGTGTTTCACAGCTTGCCGCAGGTTTTCCTTACGTTTTCGATCGGACATCGAAGTTTAACTCATGGAAAGAAAGGAGCCTCGTTCCTTAGTTTGGGTTCCTTAGGTCAAGGCCCCGACTGTACCTTTTTGCGCTGCGCAGCGCGCAGGAGTGGCCGAAGAGCGTCGGGTCTGCGTTGCGCCGGGTGTGGCCGAGCAGCCGACCGCAGACACGCGTCGCATGGTCTACGGCCGCGCAGCCTTGGCGAGGAGGGTCGAACGCCGCCAGGGGCTCAGAATCGGCCGATGTCGAGCGCTCTGCGGCATCGGAGAGTCGCGATCCTGCGGGGTCGAACGCTTCACGCGGTGCCGGAGACCCACGCCCGCGCCAACGCGACGCGGCCCCTGCCGCGCCCGCGGCCGGGGCGCCCGCGGGCGCCGCCGGGCCCGGGCCTCGAGCGGCGGCTCGCGGCAGCGACGAGCCCACACCCCCTTGGCATCGCTCGGACGTGTGGATTTTTCTTTCGGCGAGGACCATCGAGGAGCATCCTTGATCACTTGGAGAAAAAACCACGCACGAAATCAACAAAAAAAAGCACAGGGAATGGACGTCCGAGTGATGGCGAGCCCCCTCGGGTCATGGACAGAATCCCACGACGGACGGCATCTTCTCGTTCTCGGCCTCCGGGGGCCTCTTCCAGGCCTCGGGACCGGCAGGCAGCGACTCAGGGACGAAGGGCCGGCCCCGGGGAAGGGGTCGAGGCACCCGGGGGCCGACGTTGTGGGCGAAGCACGGGGTCGGGCGTCGGAACCCGCGGCTTCGGCGCCCGCGGGCGCCCGCGGTCTGGGCCTCGAGCGGCGGCTCGCGGCAGCGACGAGCGTGGTCAGGACGAGGAGGGGGGGGGGAGGCGAGCGGAAAGGCCGGAGGCCTCCTGACTGCTGCTCGGAGTCTCTCCAGATGTCTCTCGAGAGCCTCTTGTGGGCCTCCTGAGGCCTCGTGGCGGCCTCGTGGCGGTCCTGGGGGGCCTCTTGAAGCGTCTCGGGTGCCTCGGGGAAGTCTCTTCGGGCCTCTGAGGGGGTCTCTTGCGAGCCTATTGCGTAGGGGCCTCTTGGAGGCATCTCAGGGGCATCTTGGGGGCCTCCTGGGGCCCCCTGAGCGCCTCTTGGGCCCTCTTTGTGAGCCTGGACGGCCATCTTGGCTTGGGGCCACCTCGAAGGAGATCAGTTGAAGGATGGGGCCGTACTCAATTAGCGGCGCCCCCCCAGGAAGCCAAAATGTTGCCAAAACCTCAGTACAATCAATGAGTTGTACCTCCTCGCCGAGGCAGCTTTGGACGCTCTAATCCCTCGCGGCCTCCCACCCCCTTCCAGGTCCAGGGGGTAGGGGGAGGTGTCAAGACACGCTTTCTGCCCGCCAGCCGTATCACTCACTCCCACCCGCCCTCGCAACACATACGTAGCACACGAGCTGCAGCGTGTTCAGCAGTAATCTATGGATGGACAACCAGTGCGCAATTGCGGTGGCCATCATAGCGTCTGGTGGCCTGCCCATAGCAGGCAGTATGCCAGCACACTCACCGTCCCATTCAAAAACCAATGCACAGTGATCTTGGAGTGCCCGCGCATGATCCAGATTTAGTCTCGAAGTGCATGCATTGTTTTCTGACAGGGATGCTGGCCCTACGCGCAGCAGACAATATGCGGGCACCCCCGCCGTCCCTGCCAAAACATATGCAAATTGCTCGCGTCCCCCTGGTCATGACCCAAGATTTTGCCCCAAAGTGGGCTTCACTTTGTTTTGTGACAGGGATGGGGGGGGTGCCCTCATTGGTCCTGGATGGTTGCTGGTCGCCTGAGGGAGGGGGGTACTAATACTGAACAGTAATACACCCCTCCCCGATGGGGAAGAAGGAGGTTGGAAGAAGAAACGCTATAAAACACTCTCGCCCAGAGGACGTGTGGGATTCAGGCAACTCGATGGGCGGCGAGGTCACGGCTAGGAATTCTAGCCGCTTCGCGTGGGGACCCCTGGCCACCTCTTGGGGCCCTCTCGGGGCACCCTTGGGAGCCTTAGGGGCGCTCTTGGGGCCATCTCGGAGGAGATCGATCAAACAAGAGGGGAGCATTAATTAGCGTCGCCCCCCCAGAAGGCCAAAATGGGGCCAAAACCAAAGTCAAATCAATCCGTAGCCATTTTGGCTCAAGCCATCCGGCTGGACCCGTTGCAGGTCAATATATTGCGTCCCAGACGGTCCACGGGTTTGCATTCTGTTTCGCCAATTCTTCTGGCAGCGCCAGTGGCTACTATGGTGATGGCCCGGTGTAGCTATAATCAGTGGCACCGTGTGGTGTCAGGTTCACTTGGATGTCAGTGTCAACGCTTGGTTTGGTCGCTTCTTCGACTTGCTCCAAAAGGCTTTTGAAAAGCCTGGCAATGCCACGGTGGACGAATTCTACGCCTCGTTGTGGAAGGTTATGCAGCTTAATCTAGTGGCAATGTGTTTGTCAATGGCAGTGGGTTTCTTCACCAAGCATTGGCTCCTCCGCTGGCGCCAAGCTTTGACTGATGATTACGTTCGGCATTGGTACCAACATCGCCACGTTGAAGATGCTAGCCAACGTGTTCAAGAAGATACGTCAAGATTTGTTTCAATTATTGATCACCTTGGTGTTGATCTCATAAGATCGCTGCTGATGCTGATGGCGTTCTTGCCTCTCCTCGCTGATTTTTCAAGACTCATCACGACCTATCCGCTTGTCGGTGAAGTGCACAATGGACTCGTTAGGTTGACAAACGTTTGAGCAGTCTGTGGCACGGTGCTGATAGCACTTGTTGGGATCAGACTTCCATGGCTCAAGGTCCAAAGCGAATTCGTGGAGGCAGCCTACAGGATTGTTTTAGGGGAAGATGACCCAGAGCGCGCGGGCATGCAAGCTTGCGATTCACGTTTTGATGACATACGTACGATCATTTTCCGCATTTATTTCAACTGCACGTAGTTTGACGCGGCCAAATGGTGTTAATTGCATCTCGGCGGTTGTATTCCTTACTTGCCGCTTGGGCCCACAATTGTGGCGGCAGGCTTCACATATGGGCAGATGCAGCAGATCATGCATGTTTTCGGCAAGGTTGAGGGATCATTCCAATTCCTGGTTCGCAATTGGAGTAATATTATTGACTTGACAGCAATCCATACACGTTTAGCTGCATTTCAAGTTGCATCACATGACGGCAAACACCGTTCAATGCACCCCGTTCAAGAACACCATTGACTAGAATGTTGTCCCGGAGGTATGAGGGCAAATCCGTCGGACTTTTCGTGTTTATGTCTACGTTCATAGTTGTATCTGCCTCTGTGCAGCTGCATGAATGTACATATGCCGATGCATAAACATTTGCATATTTACACATATATATAAACATCATGATACTTCAACCTGTTGCAGGAATTATGAAGATTCAAGCACAATGGTTTAACAGGGCCATGTGCATGCGCACGATCTTTGCAGTAACAGTCAGGCGCGAGCTTGTGTGGTTGGAACCACCGCCGCTATCTTTGACTGATCACCGTTGCGTTCTCCAGCGATTCGTGGTCCATTCGATTTTTTTTTTTTTTTTTTTTTTTTTTTAGTAAATCAATGGTTTTGGCTTCCTCGCCGAGGCCGTTTCGGACGCTCCGACGACTGGCGGAACCCCTTGTCCAGGTCCATGGGGGAGGGGGTAGGGGGAGGGGTCGAAGGGGAAGAAGGAGGGGTGGAAGAGGAAACGCCCTAAACCACCGATGCCCAGAGGGCTGGTGGGATTCGTCGAGCACGTGCCGAAATCCGAATTTGACCCCCCCCCCCGTCCCGTCGATCCAAGAGAAGCGATGGTTGGTGGGGGTCGGATTCGGATGTCGCCACCTACGGGGAGCATCGGGAAGACCGTGCCGTGCAGTCATCGAGCAACCACAGTGGCACAGACACAGGCTTTCGGAGCTCAGCAGCTCGGGTGTCCTGGATCGGCGCTGGAGCCCGCGCTCAGCGCCGATCCAAGAAGTCGGCGCCGCCCTCGGAGAGTTCACGCTCATGCCGCCTGTTGTTCCTCCAAGGACTTGGCATCGCTCGGACGTGTGCTCGTTTTTCTCGACGACCATCGAGGAGCATGTGGGCCCCGGAAACGGCAGGGCCGTTTTTTCACCGTTTCCCAAAAAAATGCCCCTGAAACATAAAAGCGGCGAAAAAACACGGCGACCGGAAACGGCAAAAAAACGGCTCCAGGGTTGGATCCGGAGCCGGCACCCGTCAAAAAACGGCGGGCACCGGTCAAAAAACGGCGACGGAACCGGTAAAACTGCGGCGTTGGAACCAGGAAAAAACCGGCACAACGGAACCGGTAAAAAGGTGGCCCTGTCGTTTCCAGGGCCCGTTTATCAGCCACCGAGCAAGCAAAATCAGAGCCCCGAGTCATCAGGGATAACTCGGGTCAGGGATAACTCGGGTTCGTTTTTCGGGAATCCAAACCCGAGTTACCCCGGACCCGAGTTACCCCGGATAACTCGGGCGTCCAGAGCCCCGAATCATCAGGGGTAACTCGGGTTCCTTTTTCGGGAGGGAATCCAAACCCGAGTTACCCCGGACCCGAGTTACCCCGGATAACTCGGGCGCCTCACAAAACGCGCACGAGACCGAACAAAAATGCACGCGGGAGTGGAGAGGCCGAGCGGCGGCCGGAAAGTCGGGGCGCCGAGCTGCGGGCCACGGGCCTCGGGCCACCGAGCTCCAGGTCGGCTTCGGGCGCGGCGGGGGCCATCGGGCCCCGGGGCGCGCCTCGGGGCTCGGGGCGGGAGGGGAGCCCACGCGGGAGGCAGCGGCTCGGTTCGCCGGGACCGGAGAGGGGCGCCTCCCCTGATGGTCTGGTACCGGAAATTCTCGGCAGCGATTTCGACGCACCCCGAATTTCGGTAGCGACCGGATCGTCGTTGGAGGGCGTTGAGATAGCGGATTTCAGAACGGTCTGATACCGGTATTGGGCGCTGCATTTCGGTATTTCGGTAGCGACCGATCTCTGCGGAGCGCTACCGGAAATTTTCGGTAGCGGACCATCAGGGTCGTGCCGTGGTGCCGTGCGAGAGGCAGCGGCTCGGCTCGCCGGGACCGGAGAGGGGCGCCTCGTGTTGAGTCGGGCTTGTCCTCTACAGGGGGATTTTCGACGAAGAATAAAAGATACTCCAAACATATTTAACAATAGCCAAAAAAAATAGTATGGGGACTATTTTTGGAATATTTTTGGATCTTTTCGGGTTATTTGTTTTCGAGGTATTTTTGGTTTTTCGTCGAACATCCCCCTGTAGGGGGACACGCCCGACATAAGCCTCGCGCCGTGGTTCCGCGGTCGCTGTGGCAGCACGGCTGCAGCACCTTAAGCTCAAGGCGGGCCTGTCCCTCTACAGGGGGGATATTCCAAAGTAGTCAAAACAATAGTCTGGGGACGATGTTGGACCATTGTTGAATATTGTTGGTGCATGTTTCTGGGTATTTTTTTTGCTTCGTCCAAAATCCGCCTGTAGGGGGACAGGCCCAACCTAAACCTACGTCTGCCTGAGGCGCCGTAGAAGGGCAGGCTTTGTCGCCCTGCACGTCCTGCGAAACCGCAGCAGTTGGTGCTGAGCAGTTCGACTGTGCAGGGCTGTCGGCCTCGGCCTGATTGCAACCACCTGAGTCCAACCCCGCAGGAGCTCCATGATGGACCCTGTATTCCCCACAGACGACTCGCGCGGCGCGTTCTATGGGTGCGGCTAGAACCTAGCAGATAACGCGAAGCACGCGTTTCTCTAGTCCTCAATTGATCCAGGAATCGTGCTCTTGCCTCGTGTTAGGTCCAGACGGCCACTATCCCCAGTAAGAGATACACTGAGATGCCACAGTTGTGCCATCGCATACCCAGGAATGCACGTTTTCATTGCCGACCTTCTACTCCTCGAACCGCCCCTTCACTTTTGCTGCTATTGGGGTGCTTCGCTGAGGTAATCTTCTCGTCCACGGGGTGGAGGTGGGTGCGGCGCAAGGACGGCAAGAGCGCGACGACCACAGCGCCTTACGCGGCGAGAGAGCGCGAGAGAGCGCGCAGCGCCGCCGTCGCCGTCGCCGGTGTGGGTGGCCGCGCCGCCGACGCCGCTGCCATCGTCTTACGGCGGGCTCGTTGCACGGCAGGCCAGGCGACCCTCAGCAGTATTGCGAACGACGGCGGCACACCGTGAGACGTCTGGAAACACACTGGACATGGGGCGTGCTGTGTTTCGAGCTGCGCGGCTGCGAGCCGCCAGCGGGTGGGACTCGTTGTCCCCCCTCCGTCCTTCTGCCTTGTCTTCCTCCTCCATCGGCAGGGGTGGGCCTGGCCCCGGGTGCCCGATCTCTGCTTCTCTGGCTGGGAGAGAGTGACGGCCACTTGCCCCCGCGGTGGGTGGGATGCTCTGCAAACATCGTGTCGCGCCTACGCGGCGGCGACCCTGCCGAGGGCGTTTCCGGGGCAAGCGTCAGGGGGGAATACTCTGGACTTCTCTGGACGTGTTCGTCCAACGTTTTCGTCGGGTAATCGTCGGCGTTCCAGCATCGGGGTGTCTTTTAGCCGCTACGCCTCGCCGAGAGCGCTCCAGGGCGGCCGGACTCGTCCCGACTGGCCAGCAGAGAGAGCTGCGCTATGGCCCGCAGCGTCAGGTGGGGGCACGCTCACGGTGGGAATGCATCGGCCCTCAGTCGCCCATTCGTCGCCGACGGGGGCTCGATGGCCCACCCCGCCAAGGAGCGTGTAGCGTCGCTATTTGGGGCCCATCGCCGCGTCGCCGATCTGTCCGCGGTGTATCGCCGATCCCATGTCGATGGGCCCCCTTGATCCAGTGCCCCCCTAACGGCGATACCCCTCAGCCGACTAGGCGTCGTATCACGAGCGGCGAATGTATCCATATTGACGAACTCGCGGTCTGAACTCCGGGGCGCGATCCCGCGGACATGCGGTCGCATGGATACGTTCTGCGCGGGGCATCTGCGAAAACATGTAGCGTGTCCATGGGGTCGCGGCCCAAGAGGCCCGGCCCGCGATGCCGTTGATTTGGATACGAGGCGCGTTCCAGAAGGGCCTCGCCCTCGAGGATCGAAGGAGCCGGCATCGCTCCCGTCCCCAAGATGTGGCAACCTTTTTGGGTCCGGGGTTTTTGGACCCCGATGTGTGTCCTCCTCCCGCGATCGTAGTCGTCGGCGTGGTTGTCGCGCTCGTCGTCGTCGTCGCCGCCGTCGTCGTCGTCGTCGTCACCGTCGCGCGCTCGCCCGATGAAGTTCTTGCCCTGCTCCGTGTTGCCTGCCGCGGCCGCGGCGCCCGCCTGCGCGGCGCCCCACCCCCCGGTCCAAGGAGGCCAGCGACAAGCACGACAGGAGCATGAGGCGGAGCTTCCCCCCCCCGAAGCTCAGAGGAGGAGGAGGTCGCTTCGGGGAGGGTGCGCTGATGTTCTTCGTGCTTGTTGGGTGTTCTTGTGAGTTCTGGGGAGGGTTCCCTTGGATGTTCTGTGCGTTCTGGCCGGTGGAGGGTCTCGTGTTCTGGAAGGGTGTTGTTCTGTCCTGGGTCCGGCTGTTCTGCTCTCCTTCGCCCGTTTCTTCTTTTTGCTGGGCCTGGGAGGCCTTCGTCGCCACCGCGGGATTCGCCTCGAAATTCTGGTTAGAGCGCACCCCGGGAGAGGTCCGGGGAGTAGCTGTATCGATACCTCTTGGTTTCCCCAGAAGCGGGGCGGCGATCGAACGAGGAGGGCCGGCGGCGCAATCCGACCCCTACCCTCGCCGATGAACGATTCAGGCAACTCGATTGGCGGCGTGGGTAGGGTTAGGAATTTGTCGAACACGTGGCGAAATCCGAACCTTCCCTCCGCCTCCCATCGATTCAGGTGAATCGATGGTTGGCGGGGGCAGGGTTCGGACGTCGCCACCCAGAGGAGCAGGAGGAAGAGGACGAGTTGCGTTGCATATTCGGGGTCCCTCGCCTGTCTGAGAAGTTGGTCCTCTTTCCTTGTGTCCGACGCGGTCTCGATGCGGACGGGGCGCGCGACTTCGGCGCAGATTTGACGAGTCCGACCTTCGACGCAGATAGGGGCGCGACGTGGCAGGCAGGGTCCCCCGAAGATGCAACATGAGATGAGCGTCAGAGGAGGAACACACACCCATAATTACCGCCACCCGCCCCTCGTCGCCACGGCTGGATTCGCCTCGAAACCATCCTCAGACTGCGCCAATGGAGAGGTCCGGGGAGTGGCTGTATCGATATCTCGTCATTCCCCAGAAAGGGAGGCGTCGGAAAGACGCTTCCCTCTCTAGGGAACGACAAGGAGAGGGCGGAAAGAGAAGAGAACAGAGAAACGTGAGCAATCAGGAAGGAGTAAGAAGAAAACGCGGAACATAACAGGATAGACCATACGTGACAGAAGGAGGGTGACCAGGATAAGGAGTATTAGATGTCCTCGCCCCATGCCCCTCCCCTTCCTGATGATTGGAGGAGGAGGAGGTGGAGGAGGAGGAGTAGGAGGAGGAGGAGGAGCTGACGTGTCCTCCACCGCAACCTCCCCCTACTGGGAGGAGGGGACGGAGACGGAGTAAGACGGAGAGGAGGACGAGGACGAGGACTCCCGCCAGTGCCCAGGGCCTTCTCCGACATGGTGGAGAACGCGCGGCGCGAGAAGCGGGAGCGTGACGCCATGCGTGCCGAGGCCGGCGCCCGTTGGCGGCGACGTCGGGATGGCGATGTAAGTTGGTAGTGGTGGTGATGATGATTGACGTGTTGATATGGAGGTGAAGTTGATGACGTCGACGATGATGATGATGACGATGATATTGATGCAGTTGCCGCCGATGGTGGTGATTGACATGATGATGCTGCTGCTGATGACGATGATGATGGTGGTAATGATGACGACGATGATGCTGATGGTGATGATGATGACTAACGGAAGCGATGATGGTGGTGATGATTATGATGATACTGATGATGGTGGTGATGTTGATGATGGTGAGGATGGTGGTGGTAACGATGATGGTGATGATGCTGCTGATAATGCTGATGATGATTATGTTGATGATGCTGATGGTGATGATGATGCGAATGATGATGGTGATGATGATGCTGGTGCTGCTGGTAATGATGATGATGATAATGTTGATGCTGATGATGATGCTGCTGATGATGCTGATGATGATGATGGTGGTGGTGGTGATGATGGTGATGATGATGATGATGATGATGATGATGATGATGATGCTGATGATGATGATGATGATGATGATGATGATGATGATGATGATGATGGTGGTGGTGGTGGTTGTGGTGGTGATGATGATGATCTGTTGTCATTGCCTGCTCCTGCTTCGTTTCGAGTGCTTCCTTCTGAGTTGACGCCCGGTGACAAATTGCTAGGCGCGAGAAGGTAGATTGCTGGGCTAATGGGAGGCTCGCACGCGACGTCAAGCACCCTCTCGGGGACACGGCGACCGACGACGACGACGACGACGATGAGGGCAGCGACGACGACGACGACGACGATACTGGCACACTCGGGTCTGACTAGTAGGTCGATTCTGCAAGGGGACCCACCGTTCTCCTGCCTACCACGCCCCGCGAGATCATGTATTTATTTGGTGAGCCCGTAGCGTCCGTTACGGGTGGTCGTCCCCGCCCCTTAGGGCCATTCGTTCGAGGAAGAGAAGGGGGGGAGGACTGGGGGTGAGGTTGGTTCGAGGTGTTCGGACGTGTTCCTCGATCTGAGTCTGCTTTCCAGCCTGGGGCGCCTCGCCGAGAGCGTTCCAGGGGTGGCGGAACCGGTGCGAACGGTCGGCGGAAAAAGCCGTTCGATGAGCCGAAAGCCTCCGGGCAACGTCAGGGGGGGGGGCGAGCCGAGTGATGCGCCGAGCGAGAGCGAGGATGCGCCGACCCCCCGTCGCCGATCCACAACCCGACCGGGGCCCACCCCGCCCAGAAGCATCCGGCGATATCGCCATCGGGGACCCATCGCCGAGAAGACGGCGACGTGTCGCGGATGCCAGCTCGAGGTGCCCCCCCCCCCCCGAGGCCGTCTGCCCCCCTGACGCTGCCACATGAGCGTAGGAGGGACATCGTGGAGGTCTCGCGCGGCGTGCAACAGGTGTATTCTCCCAGTCCGCACGTCCGCTCCGTAAAAGCCTGGGCCGACGTCCCCGCGGCGATGTTCTGGCGCACGTCCGACGTAAATCCGACGTGGACCCGACACGAGTTGGGCTCCAAGGTGCCGCGCGAGGCCTTTTTAGGTGTTCCGCACAAGCTGCCCCTCGCTGCCGCTGCCCGGCGTCGCCGCCACCCGTCGCGCGCCGTGCCGCCTACATGACGCGGGCCCTTCCCCCCCCCCGGGAGGACAAGTTTACCGACGAGACGGACCCCGTCGAGTCCACCGAGCGCCGCATGCGGCGCCAGGTCCGCGGCGCCGCCGCGCCCCCCGCCTGCGGCCGCCGTCGTCCGCCCGTTGCCGTCGTCGTCGTTGTGGTCGTCTGCGTCGTCGTGGTCTTCGCCGTTGTCGTCGTCGTCGTTGTCTTGGCCGTTAGCGTCGTGGTGCTCGTCGTTGCTCTCGTCGTCGGCCTCGTCGCCTGGCTTATCGTCGTCCGCCTCCGGTCCTCTCTTCCTTCCCCCGCTTCCACTTCATCCCTTCTTTCCCCATCCCTCCTCACATCCCCATCCCCCCTTCCTGATGAGCTCCTCCTACTCCCACAGCCCCATTTCCTCATGAATTATCCTCTTCTCCCCTCACTCCGCATCTCCGACTGCCAGCCTGTCTGGATCGCCTCAGGCGTACAAAGCGGTGTCATGATGTTTGTTGCGCTGCGTTTCCGCTTGGTAAAGCTATTCTGACGGAAAAAAACCACATGAGAATATGTTTAGCTTGCCTGGGGATCTCCCCTTGCCCCCTCCAACACCCTCCTGCCTCCTCCTCGATTCTCTTGCCTCATCCTCCTGCCTCCGCATCATTCTGCCTCCTCCTCCTCCTCATCATCATGCCTCCTCCTGCATCTTGCCTCGTGCCTCCTCCTGCCTGCTGCTGCTGCTGCTGCTGCTGCTGCGGGTCCTCCTCCTCCATTTCTTCCATCCCTCCTCCTCCTCCTCCTCGTCCTCATCCTCGTCGTCGTCCTCCTTTTTCTCTTCCTTTTCCTCCTTCTCTTCCTCCTCCTCCTCCTCTTCCTCCCGCTGTGGAGCAGTAGTGTATTCTGTGAACGGGGAACCGGGAACAGGGAACCGGAAACCGGGAACCTGGAACCAGGAGCCAGGATTTGGGAGTTGGGAACCGGGATTTGAGAACCAGAAACCGGGAATTGGGAGCCGGGAGCCGGGAGGTGGAAATCAGAGTTTGGGAACCCGGAACCGGGAACCAGGAGCTGGGAACCGGGATCGAGCCGGGAACCGGGAATCGGGAACCGGAAACGGGGAATTTGCAAAGAGCCGAGAACGCAGGACTTAACATGTGTTCGGGAATTGGGGAATCGGGAAAGAGGGAGAACGAAGCAGAGTGATCTATATTACATTTGAAAACCCAATCAGTGGATGATTCGAAAATTAATATGATGGATCTTGAGATCGATTGTGAGATCGATAATGAGATCTATAGTGGAATCGATCGTGAGGACGATTGCAAGGTAGATCGTGAGGCCGAGAGTGAAATCGATTCAATGAGATCGATAGTGAGATCGATCGCGAGATCGCTCATGCGATCTCTAGCGAGATCTCTAGTGAGATCGATAGTGAGATCGATTGTGAGATCGATGGTGAGATCGATAGAGAAGTGGGTAATGAGATCGAGGGTGAGACCGATCGATGAGAAGATCGACCAGGAACCCGGGGACCCGGGAACCTCGCCGCCCTCCGAAATCGGCCCCGAACCCGGAACCGGGAACCCCGGAACCCAGCGTGCGACCAAAATCGGCGGCGCACCTTCGCCAAATCCTTCAGCATCCGCGAGGACCCTTTCAGAGCAAGCACTGACCTGGGAATATATATATATATATATATGTATATATACGTGTATATGTATGTGTATATATATATATATATATGTGCCCCCCTTCTCATCACCCTATGATTCTGTATCGGTCGTTGAGGTGTCCATTCGTACTCTCGATGGTCGTCCTTCATCTCTTCATCCGTCCCCGCTCATTCGCCTTCCCTCTGCTTCCTTTCTGTACTGTTTCTTTTTCCGTCCAATGCTTATCCTTCATGCTTGGTTCACCATCGTCCTCCCTGCCTTGATCCCTCCCTCTTCCTCTCTCCATGCTTACCTCCCCCATCAATTTGTTGTTGTTCTTCATATTCATGCTTCCTTCTCCCATCCTCCTCCCTTTCTGGATCCATCCCGATTCCTGCTTGCTCCATCGACGTAATCTTATCCGTCTGGTTTCTTCCCCCCATCGTCCTCTTTATCCTCGGCTATTTCATGCTTCCCTCGCTCTCCTTCCCAAACTCCCTCATCCCACTCCCTGCTGGCATCTCTCTCTCTCTCTCTCTCTCTCTCCTTCTCTCTCTCGCTGTCTCTTCCTCCTTGCTGTTTCTTATCCTCTACATTCCATGTATAATCGCAGCCCCTCCTGGCTCAAGTTGGCTGTTCCTTGTCATCTTGCCATCATCGTCGACGGAAGCGCTCGAGCGCAAACGTGTCAACAATATGAACAGAGCTCGCGCGCGCGTTCTGGCCGCCTGGCTGGCCAACGACCAACGGCAACGCACTGCAGAAGATGCACACAGCGCCGTCCCCCGAAGTGGAAGCCCTGCAAACACGAAAGGCCACCGCACTCTGCAAATCCATTTGAATTTTGGAATTCCTGTGGTGAGAATCGCAGACACCATTTGATTCCACCGGGATTTTGCGGATTTGGTGGATTTTCCACCTCCGAGCGAAAATCCAGTCTGCAGCCCCCGCAGGCTCCGAAACTTTTAAACAATCTGAGTGGAAACATACAGTTTGGCTTCCCCTTTCTTCGCTAACTCTTTGTGTTCGCATGGATGTTCAGGATTTCTGGGATGAGAACCTTAGAAACCAAACGATTGGTATTGGAGTTGGAACATTTGGTTGATTCTCCACCTCCAAGGTGAAATCCAACCTGCAGCCCACCAGGGCTCCAAATCCCATATATCCATGTGCAAACGCAGATTTTGATTTCCGGTTGATTTGCGAACCTTGCGCTCTCACATTGATGCTCGGGACCCGGAACTTGGGGGGACTGCAACATATATTTTCGCTAGGAGGTAGAACAAGTGAATTCCAACGTCCACGCGAAACCATCTCATTTCCTGGATTCTCATCCCAAAAGTCCCAGCCATCCATTTGGAAACACAGGGCCCGCGAAGTAAGGGGAAGTCAAACTTGCGTTGTCACATTGATCTTTGGGATTCGGAGCCTTGGGGGGCTGCAGATGGGATTTTCGGTCGGAGGTGGACAACCCTCTATGCCGGCAAAATCCATTTAGAATCAATGGCTTCTACTGTTCTCATCACGGGAATTCCCCAAACCCAACTGAATTCACAGGGTTCGGAGGCCCATCGTGTTCGCAGAATGGTCACCACAAGCATTGGGTTCCCTCTTCGGGGTGTGGCGTTGTGTGCACATCCTGCAGTGGGTTGCCGTTCGTCGTCGGCCAGCTAGGCGGTCAGGGCGCGCGCGCGAGCGGAGTCGAAAAAACGCACCCGCAAACGAGGAAGGGGAAGGAACGGAAGGCAGAAAGGCAACAAAGGAAACACGCGAAGGAGGCAACAAGGAGGGGGAAAGAAAGGACGATTAGTGTGCAACGTCCCCAACAGGAAAATTAGCGAGTGGAGGATGCCCGGGGGGGGCTGTCCATATGTGCGTATGTATGTATGTACGTAAGTATGTATGTATGTGTATATATATAGATGCTTATATATAATTACATCGGGGGTGGACAGAACCCCCGACAGTGACGCGTCGATTGGTGAATTGTCCGTATTCGGTTCTCGAGAGGGCGCCGTGGCCTTTATTTTCCAGGCTTGCGCCCGCCAGGCTTGGGCCTCAGGTCGTTTTCATTAAACCACGTGTTATTAAAAAAGGGGGTCTGTCCATCCCCGAGAGAGAGAGAGAGAGAGAGAGAGAGGGAGAGAGAACGAGAGAGAGAGAGAAACAGAGAGCGCAACAGCACCGACAAGTATTGAACCACATATATATATATATATGTATACATATAAATACAGAAATATATGTAGATATTTCGAGAGAGACACGACACGTACATATACACAACGAAGAATTTGACAGAGAGAGGGGGACAGCGGGATACATATACATATATGTATATATATATATATGTATATGTACACACGCGAACCTGTATTTAACGATGAGCGAAGCTGTGCCGATTAACCAGGATAACATCGTCCTACGATCCATCCAACTTCAATTCGGCACCCTGCGGCTGTGCCTGCTGGTCTGCGCTGAGCCACGAGAAGGGTGGCGACGGCGAAGTGCCTTTGCCGCCTTGTTCCTCGTGTCCTCCGTGGTTTCATCCCCGCCCGCCTCGCCCCACCCCACCCGGGCTGGATGGGAACAGGAAGGCCTTCGGTGGAGGGGGCTCCCTGTGGGGACACGAAACGTGTGAGAGGTGTCCCGAATCGGGTGCGGGGGTCGCATGCGACCACCGCCACAGGGGCCTTCGGGGGAACTCCCAATAGGGCCACGAAGCGTGTGAGGGTTGTCTCGAACCAGTAGCGGGAACACATTCGAACACCTCAGTTGGGGCATTTGGTGGAGCTCCCTACGGGGACACGACATGTGTGAGGGATGTGCCGAGTTGGGTGCGGGGACGCATGCGAACACCGCCAGTGGGACCTTCAATGGAGTTTCTGGGGCTAAGAAACGCGTGAGGCGTGTGCCGAAATGGCAGAATGATGCGAAGAGCAGAGGCACACGCAGGGGAGGAGGAAAGACGGGGAGGAGAAACAAAGGAAGGAAGGAACGCAGGGCGTTGGCTCTTCAAAGCGAGGACCCAACACCACAGAGTGACTGGGAAAACATATTGTTGATAATTCCCTTGTTTGTGCATATACAGTTCAGATAGCGCTAGACGGCCGCAGTCGGCCCCATTTGGGCAGACGCGTTTCCGGGCGGCACGGCCTTCCCCAAGATGGTAAACAAGATGGTCCAAGAGGGCCACGGGTCGCCGAAAGGTCGGTCCAAGACGCCCAAGATGGCCTCAAGATGGCCCAAGAAGCGCCCAGGACGCTCCAAACTGCCTCCTCGAGGGCCTCCAGGAGGGCCTGGAGAGTTAACGTTCATGAATTTCCTAAGGTTTTTCTACATTCTTCGCGTTTCCGCGTGTTCGACTTCCCGGAGCTCCCAAACAGCCCCAAGAGGTCCCAAAAGGTTGCCCCAAGACGGCCCGAGTGGCCCCAAAGAGGTCGCCCTCATAGCCCAAGAGGCCCC